GTATTACAGTGGAAAGTGGGATAAAATCATGACGAAAACAATGACTTTCGCTTTCTTTCGTTCAATAGATGTTACCGTAATCGCTTTTCGAATGGTTTAGTTTAAAAACTGTTGTATTTCAATAATATTCCCTCCTAATTGACTTGAATAAATACTTGAATGGAAATATACAATATTTTTGTTGAAACTACCCGGGTTTCAGTGTAAAGTGTCGTAATAATAAATGGTAAACAATTTGCCTTCAGCACTTGTGTTTCATGCACGGCGAGCCTCAGTTTATAGGACGTAGAGCGTTTTTAGTGGTTTTGTTGTTCCATTACCCTCAAAAACGTGGGTGGAACTATAAACGAGGAATATCATAAATAAACGATTTTTTGGTCAAAAAATCAGGGTCGACTGATAACGAGGGGGGGTTATAGACGAGTATATACGGTATGTTGTCACAGTTTGATTGCCCAATTTAAAGTGGCGACCACGTGGTCGCTTGTTGTCGCTGTGCAGCTGTGGCGCTCACGCATGCACACAAATGCCCGCTAAAAAAAAAAAATAGTTTTTGAAAAGTCCGGATTCTCGGGTGGTCCGGATTTCTGGCATCCGGATTTTTGGACTTTTACTGTACATGTATTTTGTTTATACAGCTGTGGTAGAAGTAAAAAAAAATTATGTTTTGCAGAATGAAAAAAAAATATTCTGGTATATATATTTGACATTAGTGTAAAATAAGCATACCAAACACAAATGCCTCTGATGAAAGCTTGGAAACATAATCCAGACTTATAAAAAATTAATATCTTGTACAGTATTTATTTGAAGGATGTTGTGACTTGGTGAGGATCATTTCCTTTACTATCTCCATTGAATTTAGAATATTAATTTAATTTAAGATTAATACTAGAATAAAAGGCTGGTGAGCAGGGTAGAGATGTAACCAGACATTAGAGAGACACAAGAGTAGTAAATGTTGCTCCTGGATACTGAAAATTGTCAGCACATCATGAGGCATTTCTGACCTGATTTTCCACATGTCACCATCACCTTATTGTGAGATGAAAATTAGTAAAAAAGTCAAGATTTTAAAATTAATATATTGTGAAGGTGGATACACTAATTGAACTTTTAGTTTCACGATGCCCTTACATAAGTAAGGTTAGAGAGGACATCAGGTTGTACGTGAAGGATTGGTCCTAAAATCCCATGTTATGACTGAGTGACTTTGATACACTCATTCCTATTTGTGGGGACTGTGGAAGTTAATTGGAAGGGAAGGTTTGAGCCTGGAATCCAAAATGGTCGATTTAGTTGATGGGTGAAGTGTGCATATGGTGAGTTTCTCCTCTAAAGATCCATTTTAGGAACTTGTTTGTAACTGTAAAGTGTAACATATTACTGTACAGTAATGAATTAGTCCCAGACAATAATATCTCAGGGTATACCTGGGTTTCCAATGCCTGGTCTTATCACCATAATACATGAATCACTTAGAACTGGCTAAATCATAAAATGAGATTAAAGAATTAATCCTTTATTTCCATTTTGATTACTTTATATTATATTTTCATACATGTTAATTAAAAAAAAATTCAGGTGAATCGGACACAGCTGTCTGTGCAGCTCACAACATTGTTAACTGGACTGGAGGAAATGATCACAGGAGAAATTAATGGTCGAGGGAAGCTGGTCTTGGATGCTTGTGACACAGCTGTGAGGAAATCCCAGGAACTGGCGAGACGTATTCCAAAGGGGAGGGCAGCAGAACGTGCTGAGAAGGCACTGCAGCAGGTAATGAAATGGATGGCAATTGTTTATGCTTTATTCAGCCAGATTTATTTGACATAATATATGATGAAGTACAGTAGATCCTTATGCACAATGTTTTTTTATATACAGTATTCTTATCTACCCTTTCCTATTCCTTAGTTTTATATATGTTGTTCATCATGACAAATTGTCAGCCTACCACACCATACACAAGCACGTGGCCACACACTGGCTGTGTCTGTGTGTGTGTGTGTGGGAGGGGGGGGGGCGATGATGGAGTGTGAAGGGCAGCTGTTTATTACCTCAAACCACTGAAATAAAGAATTTTGTAAATCAAATTTGTCATGCAGTATTGCAGCTGTAAGTAATACCAATTGCATTTTTTTTATCAAAATATAATCTGGATGATTGCTTGCAATAAAAAGTATAAACCTCTTACATTAATTCAATTGGTAGTGTCCCTTGCAATAATGTATATTTCCATATGACGCGCCAGATATGACTCACGTAAAATAGGAAAGATTCGCTTTAAATTGATATGTTGTCCTTAATTGTGGGTGTCACTTTAAATCAATAATTTTAAATTGATTCGCGTTAAATCGACGTTCTACTGTATAAGTAAGATAGACATTGAAATAATTTGTTTAATTGATACCATAGATTACCTTTACTTCTAGTTATCCATATCATAATATTTTTGGGTACCGCAGGTGCATTTCCGATGGGAGAATGTAAAGAAGAGTGGTTTAGAGGATTGGCTTCGGAACGGAGAAGATGCAGAGGTTCCGATGCGTGTGGATGCATCTCTTACATCCCTCGTTGATACAGCTCGTTCAGCATGGCGTGTTGCATGCCTTGGAGTCAACACGTCAACTTCGGCGCCATTAGTGGAGTCTGCAGTGGCTATGGCTTCTGAACGCATGGCTGATTATTGTCATTTCTTGGAGGTAAAAGCTTTGAGGAACATGACTTTGGGCTGTCGCTCTGGTCTTACAATCAATAAATATTTAGAAGAATTCCCAGGGCTGATTCATTTTCTGTATGTAGACCGTGCCTCCCACCAGTTGACATCTCCCACATTATTAACTGAGGAGCCAGGAGACTTGACTAAGGACTCAGATTCCTCAGCAAATGGTGCTAGAGCTCTCACAGTTGCTCGAGTGTGGTCCATGGTTGAGTTTGCACGCACTCACTTAACAAAGGGCCATCTATCACTTATGTGGAAGGACACCACTTTTAGTTATGCATATTTCCTTTGGTTTGAAGACAGTGGTGGAAATCCCTTGAAGCCAGGTGAATTAGGGGAGAGCATAAACGAGACACTGCCTCTACCCGGCGTACTCTGTGACGACTTCTACAGATCCCTTTGTGTCCAGACCTTCCCTGGCATGGATCCAAGTCGAATACGCGTGTATGAGCTTTTTTGTGTTCACTTGGGGTTGGCCACCTCGCCCTGTGTGCTGGAACATACACGCCGTCTTGCTGCCACTATATGGGAAGTTACTGGACCAATAGATGCTAACCCAGCAGACCTGCTATAGTATTAATTGAAATATAAAATAAACTAATATTTTTGTTCCATGTTGTTCATTAAGCTCTTGTATGGTTCTCATGGTATGATAACTCTTATTTGTTTAGTTTTGAGGAATTGTTAGAATTTACAGTACCCAAAGGAATGTAACATGTCGTTAGTATATTATATGTATACAGATATAATCAATTCTTATATACCGTATATCACGGCCTATAAGACGAAATTTGAACATTAAAAAAATCTGCCCAAAGTTAGGGGGTCGTCTAAACCACCAAGTTTAAAATTCTTACCTCTTAAATATTGTGGTTTAGTGTGTCAAGAGTGGTGATGAAAACATCGTAAGCCACTCACAAGGTCTTACCACTAATTATTTTATACTGAAACTTACGTTTGGCAAGCTGGATTCAAATTAAGATTACCGGTATATTAAAATAATAAAAATGTATTATAAACCTGTCTAACATACCGTAAAAGAGATTTATACCCCTGTAATAAACACAGCTATCATCACACACCCCTCCCCACGCCCCCCCCATTTGCCAGTGAGGAGACAAGAAAGGAAAAGTGCATTAATTCTTGAAACTATCGACGGTTAATTACAGACGCTCAAGTGACGTCACTAGTGTTTACACTACACCAGCTGGTAATATTTGATGCCATTACTTGAAGTGAATTGGCCTTATTTTAAGTAACTAACTATAAATAAATACAAAAATTAAAAAAAAAGATCAAAACTGAGAAATAATATACTGTATGTATGTTGTGTTGTCAAAGTAAGAGGAACAATTGTGTAAGTACGTAATATTTTTTCACTCAAATCCTAATGAAACACTACTGGAGAACATTCCTTTGTCGCAAAACAGTTTATAAATTAAAGAAAATAATTACAGTGTGTTTAATATATTACAGTATATTATAAATAAATAAATAAAACAAATAATTCGGTAAATCTATTTAAAGTAAATGGAAAATAAGCAAACATGTTATTTACCAAGACCCTTCCGTCTGGCTCAGGGTGAGATGGAGGGGAGATAACAAGCTATTTATAGCCCATCAGAAGTGACCAGTACCCTAATGCACCATAAATAATTCATTGAACATTCATTTTTTGTACATAGTATATTCAGTATATATATATATATATATATATATATATATATATATATATATATATATATATATATATATATATATATATATATATATATATATTTGTGTAATAAATGTATGTAGTAAGTACATACTGGTAACCTTTTTCACTCAAATCCTAATGAAACACCACAATTAGAATACGGTGGTTGCTGTTGAACCACATGTTGTATAAATAGTCACACCACCCAGACGAGGGAACACTCCCACCACGCTTCAGTGACGTCACTAGTGTTTACACTACACCAGCGAGTATAATTTGATGACATTACTTGAAGTGAATTGGCCTTATTTTAAAAAATCAAGGATGGTTGGTAAAGGACTACTGAGTCAGTGGGTAAGTGTCACATTTGGGGTACTGGTCTTATACAGCAAATAGAGCTCAAAAGCTACTTTTTAAATGGAAATTTGGGGGGGGCGTCTTATGCACCCCGCCGCCTTATAGGCCGTGATATACGGTAATCTTTTTGCTTGGATATGTATTAATAATCCATGTTTCATGTATTTTCTTTTATTTTAATTATTTTACTAGTCCTTCAGTCTAATTTACACTCAAATGACAGTTTAAAAACTGTAGCATATATGTCATGTCACTTTATCTTAGGATGGAAACTAGATGAAGATAATGCCAGTACTGTATTGTCTAACCGACTATCATTAATTTATTAATTATTAATTTAAGTTAAGAGCTTTTTATCTGAACTTTTTAATATAGTAAATTTATTTAGATCTATAAATCATTAAAAAGGTTTTCCTCTGTTTTTCATTAATTTTGTGTTAATATTTACATTACTCTTGGAGTGTACTGTATTCTCTTCCATTGTAAAGTGACAGTTATTCTTGTTTTTATGTCAAGACTAGTGTGATTGGGATAATTAGTAATATCCTTGTTTCTGTGTCAGTCTGTATGTACATTCCAGATATGTCCACAGCTAGTTGGTCAGCTTTAGGCATCTACAAATACTACAGTAGTCTATTATTTTACTTTTTAGCTTTAGTTTCTATAATATGAAAGTGTCATTATTTTACCATTTGTGCTCCACTTACTTTTATAACCTTCAATACTGCCATCAATTATCTTTAAACATATTCATTATCATTAAATGCTGTATGTATATCATGTTCTTTCAACTTTTAAAGGATTGTCATACAACTGGTAAGCTTTGACTCCCACTCTTCTCATAGTCTGTTCTGTTCCATGAATAATTTGATTGAAATTGAGATACATTTCTTGAACATTCTATTTTGTGTCTCAGTCTTGTCAAGAATCAAATGGTACAGTACCCTGATAATCATTTAGGTGACTCATTCATGAAGTGGCACAGTCACCCTGGTTACTATGTATCTTCACAGACTACTGTGATATGCTCCTTTTATGCACATACACCCTTTTTGTATACACATACTGTACTGTACATTGTTTTTCACAGGTTTCTTCACCTTTCCTCTCATAGTTCCCTTCATCCTCTGGCATAACCTACAAATACTCACAACAGCAAAAGGTGTTAATTCACACATACCCTGTACAGTACGAAGGTTAAAATCTGAAGAACACATTTTAGTGGTTGCTTCAGTCTGTGTTTTTACAAGAAGGGGCTATCATTTGTTTTTTCTTCTTCTGACAAGGATTTATTGTTCTCTTGAGTTCTCAGTGTTGGAGCTAGGATTTAAATTATTTTTATTTAAAGTTTGTTTTCCATGTTTTCATGAAGCTTTTTTATTAGTCTTATTCTAGTCATCACGACCATTGACATATATATATAGATTTTATTATATAACCTATATACAGTAGCTGTACTATATAAGATTTACAACTTTACTTACAGAATACTGTACAGTACTGTATTGTATTCATAAAGTTGACTTGTTCACATTGTTTATGGTTAACATTCCCATTTACTGTACAGTACTAGATTACTTGTATCTTAAAATTGTTTTAAAATCAATCCAACTTACATTCTTACTTACTAGTTTTTGTATACTGTATTGAATTCACTAAACTTTCATTAATTCACATTCCCTATCACTGGGTGATATACATGGGAGTACCAGTAAGGTCTGTCTTTTGAAGAAAAATATTGCACCAAAAATGAGGAAATTAACACTGTAAAGTTGTTTTCTTTTGCTAAACAAGGAGACCAATTTTAATTTCCTCCATGTTTTAATGGACCCTTAGTTGATCAGATGTTCTTGAAAGTGTAGAAGGAACTGTATTACTGTAGTGATTTTGAAGGGCTGAAGAACTCCATTCTCACACACAGACACATAATAACTTAAAGGTATATTAATGAAGTATACAAAGAACACTTAAAGATAAATTAAGGACACTGTGATAAAATATAGATCAGCTGATCTCTTTGTTAACAGTCGTGTGTGCATGATAGGTTAATATTTATGAAGAGAGTTGGCAATAGAAAGAAAATAGCAAAAGCAAATACAACGTCTTCAAATAAAAAGAAGCCTGAGTTATTATCAATTGGTTGTTGACGGAAATGTACACTGGAGGGAGGTAATGTACTGGAGAAATAAAGCACCTCCCTTATTCACCCACTTAAAATTTATAGCCAGTCACATTAATACTGGGCAACATACAGGTACTTTAAAATCAAGATTACTGAGGCTACATTATGCTGCTTTAGTATATCCTTGAAAAATTACATCAGAAACTTTAGGAAAAAACTTAATTGACATTGAAGTTTTGATTCTATGAAGCTCAGATAGTCTTAGGATGGCTGGAAATATGTTCTACATATGTGGTTGGGCAGTTGGGTCCTTGTGGTGAGAGACAGTGACACTAGCCAAGATGCTTAAAGGCTGTTTCACACCAGATGTGTTGTTAGCTACACTATGGATTTTCGGTTGCAATACTTACTATGCTAGTGTTCACACTGGATAATATGCACTCTTAGTATCATTGCATCAGTCAAGATGGAAGGCAGTGCACAGTGGTATTATGAGGAAGAGGAGGAGGAGGAACTTTTACTGCTGATTTTAGGAATGTCTTAAAAAAATGTGGGTACATGAAACAAATGCAAAAAGACCAAAATTTGGCAAATACCATCATCTTGTGCAGGAGCTTTCAGGTGATGAAGAAACATTTTGAAAATGTTTCAGATTGTTCAATGCTCAGGTCAGTGAAGTTCTGTTAATAATTGAAAAGGATATCAAGAAACAAGATACAAACTACAGACAGTCCATAAACCCTAGGAAAGGCTGCACTGATAAACAAAAGTAAATGATAATTATGGTTGGAAATGACCTTGAAGTAGGGCGCTAGCTGCTGTCGCTCTTAACTGTCAGTCTCAGACTGCCAAAATGCTCTAGTGTGCATTTGCAATGAAGCCATGCTGAGAAAAAATTGTGGAGGAGGCAATCTGGGATGGTACATATCCGGTCTGAACAACCTCATTGAAAAACAACAGAAGCAATTCAAAGCCACGTAATTTCCATCTGCAGCATAGCTAGCATTGCATCTGGTGTGAAACGGCCTTAACACCTTCCCTGGACTTACCTTATTGGTGCTTTCATCTAGTTAATATTTGTGCTCTCTAGTGTATTTATATAATTAACTTTCCTACTTACTAGATTAATTGTATAATTGTGTTCTTTTTTCAATATATAGTGGTCCCTCGGTTAACGAACACAATTCATTCCACAAAGTCGTTCGTTAACCGAATCCATTGTTTCAATGGGATATTGGGTTATTGGTTCCAGCTCACAGAAAAGTACATACAAAGTAAAAAAAGAAAAATGCATTAAAGTACACATACTTTGAGGTGTGTATGTAGAAAGTTCCTGGTTGATAATGATGATGGGAATTAGAAGTGGGGGTGGAGAAGAGAGAAGAAAAGGAAGTGAGGGTGGAGGAGAAATCACCTTTCAGGGGACCCATGCTTGATGCAGTAATTTCATCAATAAAATTGTAAGTTCACTAGGTGTAATGCAAGATTATTTTATTTAAATCAACACAGCACTGTGCTATATATTATCAATATGTTACCTAAATTTCAGAATGACCAATAATTTTAATGTAAAAATGCAAAAATATTCAAGACACCAACAAAATCGATGTTCACTCCACTGTAAACAAAGGCAAACTGACTCCTGGTGGGTGAGTCAAGCGGCTGATGGGCGCACAATAAACTAGTTCCCCGTACTGCATATATTATCAATATGTTAACTAAATTTTAAAATGACTAATAATTTTAAAATAAAAAATGTAAAAATATTAAAGAGCACAACTTTCTTGATATTTAATCCACTGGAAATGAATGTAAACATAGAACAGATTACTGAATTGACAGACTAGCCCATCAGCTGATGCTCACAACAAAACGTGTTTGTCGTAAGGATTTCGTTAATCGAAGTTTTGTTCGTTAACCGAATTGAAGATCCTTATGAGAGGTAATTCATTAATCGAACCGTTCATTAACCGAGGGACCACTGTACTGTACTGTAATTGTGTTCCTATTCACTAGATTTTTTGTATAATTAACATTCCTACTTACTGAATTATATTTATGATTAATTCACACTACTGTTCCTATTGTTATCATTACAATTCATTAGATAATGTGTATATTTGTCAGTTTATTAGATTATTTGTACAATGAACATTCCAATACTGTAAACTGTATTATTTATGCCACATACAGACTGTATATGGCATGCACTGTACTGTATAATACAGTACATTCCTCTCTGGAGACAGAGATGGATTGAAAATACTTTTGGAGTTCAGTGAAATTGAACAGGTGAAGTAAAATATGATTCATCTGTTTCATCATGAGGCGCTCCCATTGATAGTGACGAATTAGTCAAGGGCGCCCAAATCAGATTCTTGTTTCAACAGGAAGCCCGTCTCTTTTTCTACCCAATACAGGGTATATTTGTCACCCTTCTGACAGAAGGAGCGCCTCATTTTATGTCAACATAAATCAAAAAAAGTTGATACATAAAGAACTTATAGTTGAAAAAGGGAAGACATGTTTAGTGGTATTCTGATATGTTCAATACTCTACTTAACTTTGTGGATGGCCAGTATGATTACCGTGCACCAAAGATCCACATAAGATGTAAAGAATTTTTTTTACATAAATTGATATCAGTTGATGATTGTTGGATTTACTGATTATGATTTTTTTTTTTTTTTTTTTATTTCCACAAAAAGTTTTCACATTGAGATGGACGTCTCAAGTGGGTCATAAAGTAATCTCGTATAGGTGTGTAGGTTAAAGATAGTAATCCATAGAACATGTCATTTGTTTTAAAATTCCATCTGTGCAAGGTTAGGATCTGTAGTAAAATGAATTATGACAAAATCCATGATTACAATTGAGATATTATCAAGCCCTTTTCTAGTTGAATGACTTTAGTTTTTATCACTTATGATGGATGTCCCTTCTCACAATTGTGAGAGCTCTCTCAAGTTTGATTACCAGTATGTTGTTGTTGGTCACCATTAAGTCATAGCTAGTTCATATTTTTTTATACACTTGCTACATGGTTTTGAGGACTTGCATGCTGTTTATGGAGTGCTGGAACTTTTTAACTATCACCAACAGTAAGGCTAGCAAAGTCAAATCTATATGTCTATATTTCAGAAAGGCACTTATGTTCCAAAAAACAGTTACAGTCTGACCTGACCTAAGATGAGAGCACTAGCCTTCCAAATTGCAAGTTTGTATACCAGTGTCACAACTTATTGGTTAAATGAACCTGTTTTCATAATCATTTTAGTTGTACAGGTATAGTACTTTAGTATTGGAATTGTACTCGTTTGTAATGTAGTACAGAGTACAGTACTTTGGGAGGCTGATAATGAGAATCTGGTTATGTACCCTGACATTGACATTGTCTGTGTAAATGCCGAGTAGTTTAGGAATCCCCAGTGAACTGTACTATAGCTGTAAACATGTAATTTTAAGGCATTGTGTACCATTAAGGTTCTTTATGGAATTGTTGGATATTGAAAGATTTTCCTTGAAAATTTGTTTATATACATAAAGGATCTTTGATGGAAATAGTGTACTGTGTTTCAGTCAGTTTAGAAAAGTAACTTAGTTATATAATTTGACTCTGTTAACTTTTGTCTACTTTGTTGGTTTATTTAAATTTTTTTGTTTTATTCCAGCTGTTGTGTTTGTTCATTTATACAAATGTTCACCTCCATTATCATTTATAGCTTATTTACATGCACTGTCAATATGATGCATTTATTTATGCAAATACTCTTTTTTTTTTTGCATTGACTTTATTTACTGTACTTAAAGTTTAATAGGAATATTGATATATTCTCAGGTTTACAGCATTTAAAAGAGGACAGAAGTACAGTATTGCTTTTGTTCTCTTACGTCTTCGTTAGCTCAAGTTGATTTGTTGCGGCCAAGTTGGAAATAAAGTTTTTTTTTTAAACTGTTCCTGCAGTCTTGTATACAACAATTCAAGTAATTTTATGTATAATACTCATTTTATTTCTCTGGTTTAGTAATTCTGTGGATGTGAAGACTATGACTCAAGAATTTAATTATTCTGATTATTTGTTCATGAAACAATGTGCCAATATAGCTGGTAGTGATGAGATGATGTGTCATTTATTTCCCTTTATAATGATTTGTGCTAATATTTAGTTTGAAAATAATTTTATCAACATATCTACAGGTATTTCAGAAATTTTACTTCATGTTTGCAGTGATTTTTGGAGAAGAATGTGTTACTGTTGGATGATACTACATACTACATTGTGTAGAGTGACAGCCACAGGCACAAACCAGGTAAATGCTTGAAGTCTTGTTGTGAAAAAGGAACATCATAGCAGAAAATATGCTACAACTGTATGAGTAATCACTGACAGCAAGTGAAGAGAGAGAGCGTGTGTGTGTGTGCGCTGTCTGTAGCTGGCAAGATTATCGCCCAAGTCCTCCTGAACAGACTTCTTCCTGAGGCGGAAAACTTCCTCCCAGAATCTCAATGTGGCTTTAGGCCATCACGTGGCACCACTGACATGATCTTTGCTGCCCGTCAGATACAGGAAAAGTGCAGAGAACAGCGTTGTGACCTGTACATGGTTTTCATCGACCTAACCAAGGCCTTCGACTCGGAAGCCCTCTGGTGGACCATCAGCCGTTTTGGCTGCCCATCAAAATTCATCGCCATTGTGAAGCAACTCCACTATGGCATGAATGGCAGTGTCCTGCACAATGGCACCCAGTCTGAGTTCTTCCCCATCCAAATGGGGGTTAAACAAGGTTGTGTACTGGCACCAACTCTCTGTTCTATTTTCTTGGCTGCCTTCCTTAATCGTGCCAGTGCCAATTTAGCTGGCGGGGTGGACAACTCCAGGCAAGAACAAAGGTGTTGGCAGCTTCCATTACTGAGCTTCATTATGCAGACGACCTCACCCTTGTCACTCACACTGAAGGTAACCTACAGGAGATCCTGAACACCTCAGCAGATGCGTATGCACACTTCGGCCTTGAGTTAAATGTACGTAAGACTGAGATTCTCTTTCAGCCTGCACCTGGTTCAGCCACACCTCCACCGTCCATCCAGCTTAACGGCACTACCCTCACTAATGTTACACACTTTCGGTATCTTGGCTCCCACCTGTCCACCACCACGGACATCGATGAAGAGATTCAGCATCGGATCAGATGTGCATCTCAAGCCTTTGGCAGACTCCGAAACCGTGTCTTCACGACCGAGAAAAATTTCTCAGAATTTTCCGGAAAATGTGTCCCTCTAGAAAATTAGTTTGGGGAACGATTTTCCGAGAAAATTGAAATTTCAGCCAATTTTGAAATTACTGTAATTTTCTACAACTTTTATAGCATTACGGTTGACTTTTAATAGTTGTGGAACATATTCTAATTTTCCCCATAAGATAAGTATTCACTACAGTATATGCATCCCAAACCATCAAAACTGCCGGACTATCGGCGTAGGATTAACGGGGTCCAACCTGTACTGGCCATGCTACTCCTTGAGTACAGTGTGCTGTACCCACACTCTACCTAATGGCCAGTGATACCCATGGGTCCTACTTTATGTATTTTATAAAGAGGACAAAATTAAATCACAATTATTTCTTTATATCAACTTTGTTTTAAGAAGTTTAATACAGTCGTTTCTCCTTTCTAGGTGAAGTTTAATTCAAATATTATCCACAAATATGTATGTTGCTGTGTCTGCTATACACAAGAAACAAATCCCACCTATATCAATCACTATATCTTTTGACAATTCAAAACTAAATGCTAATTTTAAAGAATAATGAAGGTCTCTGGTATAGGTGTGTAGCATTTAGTTTTGAATTGTCACGAGATACACTTACCGTTTATCAAAAGTACAAATAAAATATCACTAACAGAGTTGTACTATTTCAACTGGTAAACATTTGACACTATGAGGTGTCCATTCTTTCAGTAAGGACTCTATCAATTAAATTGTTAACAACCTTAACTCTTTTCTTAGCAAGTTTAACAAAGTCATCCAGGATGTTGGGTAGGATGAGCTGACCACCAGGCTTGTGTGTGGTGCACAGGGAACCATTTTCCAAGAGCACCACAACAACTTCGCCACTCCCCTGGCTTTCATCTTCTGCTGTAGGATCCATTAGCTGAAAATCACAGATTATTAATATTAGTAAACTATTCATCTCATACTTGTATGGATTAGCTGTGGTTTTTTGATGGCACAACAATAAATTCTTTCTGGTACCTCCACCTTGTATCACAAGGAGGGAACAATAGCAGCCACCATATCACCAATTTTAATCTAATCAAATATTTGTTTTATTTATATGCCAGTCCTACAGTACTTCACATGTACAGTTGCCTCCATATGAACATATCATGACCTGGGAGTGTGTGTGTGTGAGAGCTCAGGTACAAGACGTGGGAACACAGTGAGGTAGTCATGCACTTGAAACCGTGGAATACCCTGTTTGCCAGTTACACAACAATGCTGCATAACACGTATTATTGGGTTATTTTATCTTTTTACTTCCTTTCTTGTTTGTATCATATCACAAACAAGGTAATTTCACTGTTTCACTCCCATGCACATATATGAAATTTCTTTCTTGGTTAGCATACAAACATTGCTTGTGGACATGAATGAAAGATGGCTAGATGAAGACACACACATATGGGGTACACACTAATAGCTGGGAGAACAGGGCACACCTATTTTTCTTTCTGGTTTCATCCAATTCAATAGCCTGTCTTTAATACATCACATTTCTATGAACAGCACCTGAACTTGATAACATACTTTTCTTTCAATACACTTCAGGGCATCATTAGATCTTTGCAGTGCTATAACAGTATATTGTACTGTACTACAGTATTAGTGCTTTTAATTTTTTGTGTGTGTGTTTTCAGTGTTGCACTGTATATTGAGAACTTGTTGGTTTTGTATTGGTGAGTACCCTTGTAGAGTATCTGTGTTAATTTTGTTGTCTATTTTTACATTTCTTTATGTTCTGTATTGATGTTTTTGTTTCCAATATTTTAAGTGAGGTTTATGTTAGATTAAGCTCTCTGAAAATTTGGCCCAGGAGAACAAACCTCAATAGTAACACTAAATCTACTGTACCGTATAAGAAATTTTCAGCTTCTTTATAGTTGAAAACAGTATTTTAATGGTAAAACACAAACATATCTCTGGCAGAAGATTCCACTGAACTCTAAAAATTGGTATTCTGATATTGTATTGGAAAATGTTACTGTCCAAGGCCACAACCATTATTTAAACATCCATTAGTACAGTACTACTTGAGAGAATTAAAAACTTGTTATACTGTACCTGTATACCGTCACTGTATATGGTAAAGGTTGATGATACTGGCTTGGCCTGAGAACAAGAAAAATAAACATATGATAAGATGACGTGCATTAATTCAAAGAATATTTTGAAAAGTATCATAACTAAATAAGCTCTTCTAGGATTTTATTATGCATTCATATTTCCATATTACATGAAAACTTTTATGTGAGGAAAGAAAGGACAAATGGCAGTAGAGTACAAGTACCTTTATCATTAATGGGAGAGTTCTTTCTGAAGCAACAGAAGTTTTGTCATTTTCTGCATCATATGAAACCACTGGTAACCTCACATTTTGTAAAGCTGCCATAATTGCTGTCAGTGCTGCATCATACAAGTTGCCATCATAGTTTATACAAGCTACATCACAGTAGAGACACCAGGCAAGCTAAATAAAGTAAGAAAAGAGACAGTGTACAGTACAGTACTTTTAACATTAGTACTGTGCATGTTAGTTACTTCATCCTTCAGCATGACAGAAAATGTGTAAACTTAAGCACTATCTGAAATACAGCTGTCTAATGCATTTCTTACACTTAAACAAATAAAAAATATCAGTATATTATACAGTAAATTCCATTAATCTGAACTAATTATGGGAAGGGGAGGTCCAGATTTTCCAGAGGGTTTCCCGGGACATGAAATGACACCACTTTTGGCCATTATAAGAATATATTTACAGTCATTTTACAAACACTGATAGTATCCTATTGCATCCTTGTTCCATTACTCCCTTCACTATGGGGATGCTCATACACAGACATAGTACGTATAAACATTAAAAAATATAAACATTAAATGAGTTATTTTGATTACAACTTTATAACCATCCGAGGCTGAGGTGTAATGCATGAAGGAGAGATAAGTTGGACTGGGACGAGTCAGGTGGTACTGTATCATCAAATCTGAACTGGACAGGATCGTTTATTTTCAGATTATCAGCAATGATTACATGCTGATGCACTTATTTTGCCTTTGCCACCACCAACTACTACTTCCACACACCATGGTGATGAAATAGGAAGTACTAAAAACATACACATATCCAACACAACAGTCCAAAATTCCTCAAAAGTGGTGCAAACAGAATGTCAGTATACACAGGACTGGAAGGGCAGTACAGTACTCCCAGAATCAAGCCTGATCTAACATGAACATACGATTAAATCATCAGTGGGCTGGTCCAATATTAATTCTAACCTGTAATACAGTACTGTACTCTAATATGTGCAATTTTTGAAGATACAGTCAGAAGAGGACTAAGTGGCATCAGTATAAAATCAAATTACCAAAAATTTGGAATATTCAAATTTATTCTGATTAGTCCTTAACTGTACAAATGGGCCAACAATGGTCCAGATGTCCATTTTACTGATATTATGTTCAATACAATGGCAATCTGATTGGGAGATAAACACTAAATGATACAAACCTTGTTGGGGACAATGCAAAGGTCCTTTAAGTCCAGCACTCCTGAACTGTGCAAAACATTTTTTAGGAATTGACTAGTGCCCATGGCCTTCTCTCCAGGTGGTCCCATCTGAAATGATCAAATAAAGTAATGCACAGCTGATCCCAAAACTCCACATTATGGCTGAGACCATACCTAGGCAGCTTTCATATACAGTACAGTACATGTGCACACTAAACCATTGGATCTAAAGCTACTGGTAGTAGCTGGGACTAATCTAGTGATTATTAAATTTGCCTATTGAAAGCATTGCTCCCATGAAGGAACTTATAAGTAACAGTCACTACTGAAAGATGAGGGGTAGTGAGCTGTAATGTCACATTCGTGTGTACAGGCATTCCTCGACTTAAGACAGGGATACGTTCCTGGACCATGATTGTAAGTCGGAACAGTGTTAATTCCATAGTGTAGGTTAGGTTAAAGCACAACCCTGCCCATACAAAACAATAATAACATCCCATACATAACAGATAATGTAAATACTGTAAATAAAATGTTAAACAGTATAGAATAATGAAAATAATGTAAAAAAAAAGGGGGATTTACATTATAAATTTTTGCGATGAATATATTGGGATCTCATTCGTAAGTGCGGATGGTCATAACTCGGGGACTGCCAGTATACACTTCGCTTTTTGTCCCAAGTTGGCCATCCTGGTGGCAATCCCTTATCAGTTCCAGCAGACTTTCACACTATCCAATAGGAGTAGGGAGGGTAGTCACCTTGTTCTGGGTTTTGCCATAAAATGGGGTTTGAGGATTAATCCTTCATATGGCAGCTCATGTATCTGAGACCAGCAAAACGGTTGGGAGGCAGTTGTTCTAAATATCAAACTGCCCACTCAGTCCTGTATTTTCCAGAAGGGAAATCATCACTTCAAGTTCTCTCAATCAGGGAGACAGTTGCAGCAGGAAGGAAGAGTAATAGATTTGCCCCAGCCTATAATGACAGGTTGAAATGTAGGAGGTATGTGAGCCCCTCCTCACTTCTCCCTGTAACTTTAGAATAAAATGATGTAACAGTATAGATGAAAGGTTAACCATTATATTAGGTTATGATAAAAAGAAGTTAAAGCACCAAATTCTTACTTTAATTTTGGGAGAGCTACATGGGTACAGCTCTACATTAGGTACAATAAAGCCTTCATCTGGGTTCCTGAGAGCTGGGGTGGCTATTTCTGCCTTTATGCCACACATAACAGTAGTATGTCCCACCCGAACTGTGGAAGAACCCTCAGCTGTTGTTACTGTTCCAATCTTGATGGTGATGGGTCGAACCTTCATCAGTCCCCGGCCATCTGGTCTTTTGTTCTTTTCCAGGAAGCTCCTGTGGATATATATATATATATATATATATATATATATATATATATATATATATATATATATATATATATATATATATATATATATATATATATATATATATATATATATATATATATATATATATTTTTTTTTTTACATATGTGTATAATAATAATTACAGTATTAGAAGAAATTTTTCTTTGTATTACCTGAGAGCACAGTTTAGGTCAAAGGCTTACAACAAAATCTTCCAAATCTATTATCTTCTGATAATTAGCTAGCTTGATTATAGCTACACAATGATCAACTCGCGGCAAAATAAATACCAAATGCCGCAAGAGTCATGGTCACATATCGTTCTCGTGTTGTTCACTGGTAATGGACAATTAGCCAATCAGAGCGCACTCATGGTAAAATAATAGGAACTTAGCCGGTCACGGCAAAATATCCATTGCCTAATTGATAAAAAAAAACAAGCAGCAGTAGTGATGTTAAAAGACCTCACCAATTTAACCTAACCAAACTTCCTAGCTGTAAGGCTCCAGACCCCCTGGCATATTAAACAAAAAGAACTTATAACAATATAGTGTAACTTTATGATTCTTGGTGGATGTGAGAGCATATAGAGTACACTGAGTGTACGCCTATATTGGAGCGTGGCGCAGGGACTGCTAACCGGAACAATTGGTGCAGAGCATTTCCGGGAATGAGAGATTTCCGGGTGACGAGACGACTCTCAAAGTCAGAAAAAATCCCCCATCCCCGGAATTTTCCGGGTAACAAAAATATTCTCGTTAGTTCCATATATTGTACATTACGTACATCATCTTTCAAACCCAGAAAAATATCCTCCATCCCTGGAATTTTCCAGATACCGGAAAATTTGTCTTGGAATTTCCGGCAAATGCCCTTGATTTTCATCTCTCAAACCAGGAAAACTCTCCCATTCTCGGAATTTTCCAGAAAATGTGCCCCTGAAAAATCGATCCCTTTGCCAGATTTTTCCGGAAAATTCCAGCTTTGGGAAAAATTTTCAGAGAAAATTTTAATTCCGGCTATCAGAAAGTTCCTTCCGGGTTTGAAGGATTTCGGCTAACAGAGACATTACTATACATCAATATGATTGGCTGTCTACATCCTGGGATGAGACGTCACTGCCGCATTACCACCGAGAAGACAATGTAGTGCATGCCTAGGAGCATCATTTTCTAGCAAATGAAGAATTTGCACAAGAAATGATTGTCATATCACAACTCACTGATGAAAATAAACATCAAACCAAATAATGCATCAACAAGTCAGTTGTCAATATTAGCCAATAAATCCAATATTATATCTACTATAACTTGAACCTCTGTGGAAAAAAATGAAAAAAAAAATCCTACTACTTCTGGGGACAATGCTGCAGATATTACTTAATTATTTTGGTGGCAACAAGTAAAATAATACCTATAGCTGTGCCATTAATTCCTGTGCCATTTTATCCAGTGTCTTTTACTGATCACCATGTTAAGCATGACTCCACTAAAGGAAGCCATCAAAGTGGACATCCAGCCCTTCCTCTATTTATACTTGTTACCAGCTATATATTAATTCATACTTGTAGTAGCTCTCAGGTTCAAAAGTCTTCCAGGTCTCCAGAGAGGTCATGTTGTTCACCTCCACCACACGCTGTTAACAACCCTCCTCAGAGACAACCATTAAACAAGCCTGGACAGTTTTTACTAATTTTTATATAAATATTTTGATTAAATATATATATTTTTGTGAATATAATATTTTATTCGTTTTATAATTTCATTCCGGATAATTAAGTATTGAAAAATAAGATTGGAAATAAATAAAACTTAAGATTATAATCATATTGAATATACAGTATTATAAGATATTTTAAACCACATCAAGAAATAGATTACATTCTCTAAAAAAATGAACCTATAGATTAATTACTACTACACTAAGTTAATTATTTAGTATTTCAGGAAAAGGTTTAGCTGTAGACATCTATAGGGAGACGGACCCAATACTTACACGTATTTTATTAATAATGACACTAAAAATTACCTAAAATCTGGCAAAATATAAACTAATTGTTACTTCAGAAACTTTTTATAATTTAACGTCGCCACATATACATAATTCTGTATTATATTTAGGCTCTTCCCGAGTTAATGTGGGGAACGTTGCCAGGAATCCCCATTATTTCCATCATAAAAACTGAACCGATTAGGAAACCTCTACCAAGAACGTCCATTATAGTACATTAACTGAAGAACAAGCTGAGTTTAAAGCCAAAGGTTATAGAGAGATATTGGTGAACAACTTGAAGGCACTAGTCGAGGTAGCCGTCCTTGAGGTGGTGTCCTGGACTTAACTCATCATGATGGCCTACACTGGCACTCACAGGATCGTCTCCAGGTTTCTCATCTCATCCTACACAACTCGCCGATCATATACCACGGAGAACAAGGTAGATGAAATGTTTAATTATGGTAGAAATATTGGTTATTGTTCGGCCAAGGTCAGGGAACCCCCTAGAGGGCCATGGAGCACTAGGCCTATACAGGTGCCGGGAGACCTATGGATGTGGCTACTGAATATTTAAGACCATACATGGGAAAATATATCAAATATAGTTAGGATGATTTACCATGACTCGCTAAAAAATCCCAAAGTGTACTATGTAACGTGGACTCGAATTTAGGGAGTCTTTGGGGTCAATTTCTATTAATACAACGGTCTTTCTTTGATAATAAAAATATGTTTATTCTGTGGTATTTGAGGAATTTCCAACGAATTTTGTATTAATTTCCGCCGTAAATCACTAGTTTGTAGATCCTCCCCCACCCACCTACCCAACAGTTGTAATGGAAAAAGTTGGTATTTTTCTCAAGTAAATGACATAAATAAAATACCAACCAACCAACAAAACCCGGTCCGACTAATTACCCAAATGTAGCAAAATGTAGCCGCAATGAAGTCAAATAATGGTCCTACATGAATAAATCGGACTGCCAATCACTTCTCGACTAGTATTTGGTGTCATAAAGTCACAAAAAATTGGTAAACTTAATTTAATCTGAGTTAATAGATCGAGTGCATGTACCTAACCTAACCTAACCTAACCTCGACTAGTATATGGTGTCACAAAGTCACAAAAAATTGGTAAACTTAATTTAATCTGAGTTGTGTTGTGTTAGGTTAGGTTAGATTAGATTAGATTAGATTAGATTAGGTTAGGTACATGCACTTGATCTATTAACTCAGATCAAATTAAGTTTACCAATTTTTTGTGACTTTGTGACACCAAATACTAGTCGAGGTTAGGTTAGGTTAGGTTAGGTACATGCACTCAATCTATTAACTCAGATTAAATTAAGTTTACCAATTTTTTGTGACTTCGTGACACCAAATACTAGTCGAGAAGTGATTGGCAGTCCGATTTATTCATGTAGGACCATTATTTGACTTCATTGCGGCTACATTTGGGTACATTTGGGGAATTATTCGGACCCACAAAACCTAACCATTGTTCATGGCCCCACATCTTGGACAAAGAATGTTCAGTAATACACTGTGTTTTCTAAAAAAGAAATTGCCTCACTATTTTTCTGATGAAACTCGGGAATTGATGTAAAATAATCTTTATCACAATGTTGGCACAGCTGTTCCACCTGTTCAGTCATGTCTGGTGCTGAAAATTCAAATCTCCTCTCCAGACGCACCCACACATTGTTCATTGGCTAAGACAAAAAACTCTTGCCCAATAATAAGTCCTATCGCTATAGCCAATAAGAAACTCCCACACCACCCCCGCACATGCGCTGCAGACGTTAAAGACCTTCTCCGCCAGATGTAAACAAATCATGGAGACACTTGTGACTGAGGATATCTAATAATATTGAAAAATTAATATCTCGCTTATCCTTAATTTCCGGTGGAAATATCATCGAAGAAAAAGGCTTATATATATACATAGGACTAACCCGCCAGGGCTGCATAGCGCTGATGTGGCCGTTTTATCTGACGTCCAGCAAATCCCTCAAATTTCACCATCATAAGTAATTTCTTTCTGTTTAATATACTGAGGAAGTTAGGTAAGGTTAGGTAGGTTTATTTGGTGAAGTTGGTTCGGTCTGTTCTACATACCAACAAATGTTAAGTCGCGTTTATTTTAAGAAATATAAATTTTTTAACATATTTCCACAAACTACAAGTGTCCACTATAATATAACAATGAAAATCGGGCGTTTTTATAATTGTTTTCCATCAATTTCGCTCATGGGTTAGTCCTATATAATTACCAAGAAAAATGTCTTAGAATTGTCTAAACATTACGAAATACATATTAAAAACAGTGAGAGAAATCGGTGTATTAATAGAAATTCACTGTCTTTGGTTACCGTTTTTGGGCCTAACTGTAGACTTAATGACAGCAGGGAAAATTAATTAACTCTGGAAACATGATGTATTGTACATAATGTAACAGTCTTAGGATTTCTTTTGCTTAAATTAGATTATGTTTAGTTTGTTCACATGGTAATACACTAGTTTACAAGATAATTACTGATGACTGACCCACCGGTGATTTTTCAAAGAAAATGATTTTAAAAGTCATAATTTCAGTGTTTTTTAGTGGACACTGTTGTAGTTTGTACAAATGTGTTAAAAAGTGGTTATTTATAAATTAAAATGGTAAATATACATCCATTGGCTGTCCTCAGGTTTTGATACAAGAATAGATTTATTTTTATGATGTTCGGCGTGTTTTACTCAAATTTGACCTTTATTTCTTGTGCAAATTAGCGGTTTTTGCAAAAAAAAAATAATTTTCATTTGTAACAGAAACTGTTAATTTGCACAAAATTGGAAGTCAGATTTTAGTAAAACACGCCAAAAAACACATAAAAACCCCTAACCTAACTTACAATATATACAACCTAGCCTATTTTTGGGGAACTTACCTGCTACTATGTCAAAGCCAAAGAGAGTAGTGCAACAAGCTTGCTGAATCCCTGAAGATCCTCTTCTGTAAATGCCTGGATGAGCAAAAGGTCCCCAGTGATTGGAAAATGGCTTATGTGAGTCCTATCTTCAAGAAGGGTGATCATCACTCCATGAATAACTATAGACTGGTGAGCCTAACCAGCATAGTATGTAAAGTACTTGAGAACATTATAAGAAATGCCGTGATGGAACATTTACTACGAAACAACCTTGTAAAGGATTGCCAACACTGTTTTATGCCTGGGCGCTCCTGCTCAACACAATTACTCAAGGTACTGGATATTTGGACCCAAATTCTGGAACAGGGTGGCAATATTGACACTATTGACCTAGATTTTTCCAAGGCTTTTGATAGTGTACCCCATGAAAGGCTGAAAATTAAACTTGAAGGGTACGGAATTCGGGGAAATGTCTTAGCATGGATCAGAGACTTGCTCCAAGACTGCAAGCAGTGTGTAGAGATTAATGGCACGAAATCATCATGTGTATCCGTCATAAGCGGGGCACCACAGGGCGGTGTATTGGGCCCGCCGTTGTTTGTTTGCTTCATAAATGACATGCCTGACGCTGTACAGTCCTCCATACAAATGTTTGTGGATGATGCCAAGTTATTTAGGAAAATTAAGAAACAAACAGACTGTGAAGAGCTGCAGAAGTATCTCTGTGAGCTCCAAGAATAGTCGAAGAAATGGCTGCTGAGATTCAGTGTCACGAAGTGTAAAAGGATGCACCTGGGACGTACCAACGGTAAGGAGGCGTATCATATGTCCCAATGGGATGAAGAAACTGCATTAATTGAGACTGAATGTGAAAAGGACCTGGTGTGTATGTTGACAATGAACTGAAGTTCTCGAGTCATTGCGAGTAGAAGGTAAATCAGGCAACTAAATTATTAAGTCTTATAAGAAGGTCGTTCAGATATCTAGACGGTCCGTCCCTCGTAACGATCTTCAAGAGTGAAGAGCTTTCCCATTTGGAGTACTGTCACCCCGTCTGATTCCTGAGATATGCTAGGGACTGTCAGTTGATTGAAAATGTCCTAAGGAGGGCCACCAGACTGGTGCCTACACTACGGCACATCAGCTACCCTGAGAGATTGGACCGCCTGAACTTGCCGAGTTTATACTATAGACGGGCAAGGGGAGACCTAATTGAGTTATATAAACATCTCAAAGGGCACTACAGCTCCTCCCCGACTTACGTCCACCCGCACTTACGACCTGCCTCAGTCGTACCAAAATTTGTTAAAATTATGTATTTTCAAGTCCCAAAGTTGGTACACAGACAAAATTTTCATTTGTAATTCACTTTAAAATGGCTGTCAAGAAAGTGTTTTGTAGTGCTGAGAAGAAAAAGAGACACCCATTTTCGATTTTCTATGTATTATTTAAGCATTTCCGACTCGCTACCATTTCGACTTACGACCTGGATTTGGGTCCCTAACCCCGTCGTAAGTCGGGGAGGAGCTGTACTCAGTCGAGTGTCATTACCTGGTGCTGGCGAATGCTCGCCCCTCAAGGGGTCACAGCTCAAGATTGGGGAAGCCACAAGCCCAGAAAACTGTGAAGGGTAACTTTTTCGGAGTGAGAGTTGTGAACTCTTGGAACAACCTACCAGAGAGTGTTGTGATGGCATCGAGTGTGAGCTGTTTCAAGACCAGACTGGACCAACACTGGAGCAGGTTCAGATACATTCAGGAGCCGGTGCGTGCCCAGTACAGTACAATACTTGCCAACAGTGCGTAACACAGACTTGACCGATTGCCCAAGCGGCTAACGAGCCGATCAGTGGTGAAGAGGATAAAAAAAAATTTAAAATATTTCCACAGTACAGGTGCTCCTCTACTTAAGAACGTTCAACTTACAAACTTTCAGAGATACAAACATCATCACTGAGGGGGGTTACATGGATGAGACAGGATTATTTTGAAGAAAATTCCAGATAGAACAAACATTACCTAAGGGAAGAAGAGTGAGCCAGGTTTTAAGGCTGTATTAAAGGGTATAGCTGTACTAAATATCCATAATCTTTTAATTTTTTACAATATGTTTGGTATCTACAAGAGTAAAGTTGGACTTACAAACAATTGGACCTACAAAAGAGCCTCAGGAACGTAACTCGTTCGTAAGTAGAGGAGCACCTATATGTGGTTGAAGGCTGGTTCAAAATGATTGGCCAGCCAAGTCACATGACACCATACTTGAAGGTCATTGGTTGTTATGCCGTGAAGAGGAGGAGGAAAAGAGGAGACAAGTGCCTTTGGCAACATGGCAGATACAGAAATATACTCGTAGAAATTTGTGAGATACTCTGTTAATATGGATTTGCACAAGAAATGGTATGAAATCGTATGTACAGGTATCATTTTTCCAGTCTTTGTGTCTGTAATATTGAAAATTGGAAACTGTGGACAGCCAATGGGCAAATATTAACCATTAAAACTAACCTTACCTTAGGTAATGAGAAAAACAAGCAGCAGAAACATTATTAGAAGACCTCGCCAACCTAACCAAAGTAACCAACGTAACCTTACCTAACTTCCTAGCCGTGGGGCTAGGAATGATATGGTTGTCTGGACCGAACAACTGATAAGCTTGCACTGCGCGTAGGTATCGATCGGGTAGTGGAGTGTTTTGAATTACATCAATATGATAGGCTGTTTACATCCTGGATACCACATTACTGCTGCATTACCGCCGAGAAAGACAAAGTACACTAGTGCATGCCTAGGCGCCTAATTGTCTACCAAACGAAGCATTTGCACAAGAAATGATTAACATATCAGAACTCACTGATGAAAATATAGTAAGAAAATAAACATCAAAACAATTAATGCATCGGCAAGTTAGTTGTCAATATAAACTGTTTACATTTCCAATGTAAAAGAAGGAGCCACTTCAGGAAAAAAAAATGAAAAGAAAACTGGTTTCTTACCTCTTTTTTTTTTAATGCAATATTCTAAAATAGATGGAGGAATTGCAGCTCCCATAGTTTTGGTTTAACAATATTAAGAATGAATGTGGTATTATTATCGTTTTGGTCATCCATCAAATTTTAGGATTTTAAATTACCACCGTCGGAGAGAGGTTTACGTTAGGTTAGGTTGAAATTGTTTTTTATGTGTTTTGAATGATTCTGACCTACTTCCAAATATAGGTGGATGACCGAAATAATAATTTTACCTACCGGTACATGCCATGTTGACAAGGACACCATGTTTGCCTGAATTCTGTTGACAATAAATAACAAATTAAGAATAGTAAAAAAAAAAAAAAAGTCCTAACCTAACCTTAAATAATACCCAGGTTAGATCAGACCAGGTTTGGTTGGTTTTATCTAATCCACAATAAGTAATCTTTCACTGTAGGAAAAGCATTTATTATGGTTTTCTGGTATCAAACACAACTAATCTAAAAAAAATTCCCCTGAAAAAAGTCCCTCTTTCTTATTTTTAGTACATTATTATCATTATTACTACTAATATTATTGTTATATGAATAATATAAGCTTCTGCCAGTTTTTGAACTTATTTAATGGAAGCATTGATGTCCATGAAATACGGTACAGTGACCCCTCGGTTAACGAACTCAATCCGTTCCAGAAGGTCGTTCGTTAACCGAAAAGTTCATTAACCGAAACCATTGTTTCAATGGGTTTTTGGGTAATTGGTTCCAGCTCACCGAAAATTTCCTAAATTCAACAAAAATGGTAGAAAAGTTCACTTACAGTGAGTTCTGCTATAACGTGTGTTTTGATAACGCGAATTTGCTCTAACGCGATTTATGAATTAGGAACGATATTTGTATAACGCGAACGCTTGTTTGCTGTAACGCGATTTTTGCTTACTATTTCTCCAATTTTGTGGTATTAACTGTGAATATGGTAAAGAAGAATATCTCCAAGAAGCGTTCTGGTGATAGAATTCCCGGTGATGATCGTAAAAGAAAGGATATAACACTTGAAGAGAAGCTCGATTTTATCAACCTCAAAATCACCCTTCTCCCCCATCAAGTTACATTCATATTTTCTCAAGGTAAAGTGTTACATTTACTGTATGATTTCATTATTAGATATGAATGTAACATTTATTTAGACTGTGCTATCCTTTGTGTTAGGCTAACTACTAAATTTTTTCGATTTCGAGTAATCTGCACCTAACCCTATTTTCTCTATAAGCCCTGTTATTTCTATTACGCGATTTTCTATAACACGATATTTTACAAGAACACAATTATCGACCTGTACTCTACTGAATACTTTGTAGATGGGGGTGAAATATGTAGAAAGGCAAATCTGGTAAAGAACAAGGGAAGCATCAATCCAGATCTATGAGAACCATGGTGGCTATGAAAGTACTGTAGTGTTGCTTTATAATGTCACACAACATTTCTATTGAATTCTAGGCTAAATATCCTGGGTTAGGTTTAAGGAATTTTATTTATAAAACATGTTGTGACTTGAATGGGTAATAGTGGTGCTGTTTAACCCTTAGGCGCCGGGTGACGTTCCAGAACGTCCGACTATTTGCCCGTCATATTTTATTTTTACTTTATTTATTTTTGTTTTTGGAAAAGTTTATTTTTTCCTCGATTTAACCCCGCGCGGTGGTATTGCCAGCAGCACCCTAACCCGGGGCTTAAGGGTTAATTAAGTGTTAGATTGAAACTTCTCAGTAAATTTATCGAATGATTCTACAAACCTATGTAATTGTATTCTTTAGGATATTAAAAAAATGTTTTAAAGCATAGGGATGTTGGTGGTACTGTACAGTGGTCCAGTTGTAAGCTGATATGTGGTGGAAATAATAAAAACAAAACTTTAGATGATAGGGAAGCAAAAAAAAACAAACTACTTATTAAGCTGCAAGGAAGCCATGGCTCCTGTGCCTTTTGTATGTTCCATCAAGTTAAAACAAGCATTTGCTGAATTGTTGGTTTTTAGTTGGAATGGACCAATGATGGCAAACTGTATACCAGAAATTTTCTACCCTGGCTATGTCATGTTTTGCTTCCACACACACTCCCACAAACTCAGTTGAAAGTTTATTTTACTTCTTAAATAACAAAATAAAGAAAACATCATTTTATGCATACAGTACTTTAGATATAAAAGAGACATCATTATGAAACATCACTCAAATCATTAAGCTTATATTTTACTTTGACAACTTCAGTGTTACACAAAATTAATAGTTATAATACAATTTAATCAATACTGTACATTTACTTTATTTATATAAATTAATTTACCATCTGATGGCCATCTATGCTCTTCAAACTAATTAGTACAGTATTTATAAGGGTAATAAACCAACACCACTACTATATTTTCAGTACAGTATATTTTTATACACGTGAATCATTGATTGTATGAATTAATGAATTATTCTTGGAAATCCATGACCTACCCCTGACACACACAAGCCCACCATTCAAATACCTGAAGGTACTTTACAGCTCTGTGAGGCAAGTTATTACAAAGTTTATACTGTATACAATTATAAAATATGTGGAATTATGCAAAATAATTTGCGCATTGAGTAAACAATGAGAAATGTACCCGATCGCTAGTCACTGACATAATGTTTGGCCTACCATAAATGATAAAATAATAGATTGGTGAACAAAGCTTGATTACGATATTTTTTCTTTATAATTAAGGTGTTTTTTATTATCTTTATTGTATGTTGTGGGTAATGACAGTGTGGATGCTGTCCCAAACATACAGCCACATGCTACTATACGTAAGCTCCTTCCAAATTTTTTGGAAACTTTTCAAGAGGTACTAGGAATACATTAACAGCATCTTGTAAAGAAAAATTTACACAGGTTTCTGGTTAACGTGTGTAACTGCCATCCAGTATTACTGCTGATTCTGTAGGTTGCTGGGAAAGTTGGAGGCAGCTAGGCTGTAATGTATCATGCTACTTTCTTTTTTGTGGAATTTTTGTATTTTTCCTTATTTTCTATGATTTACCAGGCAGAGTACAGGTATCCCTTGAGTTACGAACGTTCAAGGGACGAAAATTCACTTATACAAATTTCCTGAATTGACACCACTTTTTCGTGTTGCAAAAGCTTTCCCTGAATACGAATTTGGGTCCCTGCAAAACTCCCCCCCCTCCCCACCGGGAGTCATCTAGCAGCCACATCCCCCTAGCGCTCTCCATAGCAGGCTGAAGTAGGAGTTATGTTAAGGTTATTTTTCAACTCATAATTTTAAGTACTTTATATAAACATAACTTTCTTCATATTATTTCATTCAGTTACATGCACACTCGGTTTTACATACAGGTATGAAAATTCACCCAACAAATGTTTTCTTGTGCCCCCACAAGAATTTTAAGTTACCACTGTCAGAGAGAGCTGCATGTGTTTGTTTGTTGGTTACTATGCTGTAATATGCATGCGCTAGAGTCTGATGCATACGCAGTTGTTCTTTGGACAATTTTTACTGGTTAGGTGAGGTTTAGGATGGATTAGGTTAGGTTGAAATTATGCTTTTCCAATGGGTTTTGGATGATTCTGACCTTCATTTCTATCACAAATTACTTCTTTTTGTTATTTTCCCCCACCAAAAACTGGTTCCCACTGGGGGTCCCCCATTATCATTGATTAAGGGGGGGTAGTGGTTTGCTGCAGAAATGAATATCAGAATCATTCAAAACATATCAAAAACTACAGGAAAATCATAATTTCAACTTGCAAATTGGTGGATGACCGAAACGATAATTTTACCTTTTGAGAACTTAACCTATTCGTATCTTGAGGGATACCTGATTATTTCTTGGTCGTGTTTAGTAAATAAATAAACCTTTCAAGTTTTGTTTTGTAAAATTTTTTAGGCCTCTGGTCCCTATCCCTTTATTTTGTATGGAGTTGCATGTATTTTTATTTCACAAATGTTCTTGAACCCTATCTCTCAGAATAAGCCAAGGCTACCATAATGTATTGTACAGTCCCTGTCCTATACCCCATGTGGTTATCCAGTGTGCATCATTATTACTGCTTGTCCAGGATTGTACAGTACAATAACCTACTCAGGTTACTATAATTATTAATCCCAACCTGGGGTTTTATGTAAGCACTGTAATGTAGATCCAGTGAACAATTTGTATTGTGAATTATTATTGTACGCATAACAGTTTTTATGGTAGCAAACTTTTTATTAGTTACTATACCTGTACACTGTGGTTCTTTATGGTGTACAGTATAGAGAAGACTATTGACTCCTGGCATAATTTTGTGTGGATTGGGGCACTTGTAGTTAGTTTAAAGGTAAATTAAGGTGGGGCTAATATACAGAAGACCCATTTCTACACAGGAGGTAACTATTAGAAAATAAATGGTCATCTGTTAGAAATTTGTTTGAAGTCAGCATTAGGAGCCATATGAAGCTAAATAGTATCACCACTTTTTGCAGGCTGGTGTTGTAGTCGGTGTATACAACAACAATGGTGAGGATGTGTTAACAGAAGCTGCCACCAGCATCAACACACATTCTTCAGGAAACCTCACACGCCTCATGCAATAGTAAGTTCAGTAGCTTTGCAGGAATAACATTTACTCTGTCATTACTCCTATTTTACTTTATCACTGTGATAGGTATGCTTGAGTAGTGTCTTAAAACATTGTGTGATATGATTAATCAAACCTTTATGAGTTACTTCCCTACCCATCTTCCTCATATGACATGTAAAGACTAGAAATGGTAAGATACTGTAGATGGTTTGCTATTTTCAGCTAATGTCATCTTGTGTGGATGGAGGGATGTTACCCTTAGTAGTGTCAGCTTGCACTTTGAGATGTAAACACACTCAGAGAATGATTCACTATGTTTAGATAAGCTCTTATTGTATGTAACATCTGTGATTTATCATGATAATGGAAGGTAAGTGGGTACAGTACAGGGCTTGCCTCCTGTTCCGTGGGTTGGGGGTTTTATCCCTGGGCACTCTCAGTTCACCCAGTTGTAAATGGGTACCACTTCAGAAAAAGTTAGCGGTGACAGCTCATAGACAGTTATAGCAAGCAAAGTTTTCTTGGTATCAAAATGTTGTCTTAACTATGTAGTTTTCTTATGTATATATCATTTGCTAGTTTAAAGTGTTAGTAATAAATCAATCAAAATCTATTTTTTTCTCCCAAATTTCTAATGTTGCAAAACTTGCTCTGGCAGGAGTGTACCTGAGTACAGTACAGTACATAGAGTAATATAACTAGTGACAAATATTAGAAACTTGTCTATCTCGTAAATTTAGAAACAATCTGGGGTGTTTGATATATCCTATATACCTCAAAATAAGACTTGAATGGAGGTAGTAAACCTTTGATAACTCGGAATACTGTATATATGGGGCTCTTAACATTGCAAGTTATCAGGGCACTTTCCTCTCAGTCTTTTGTGCCACCCCATACCCATCTTTTTGGCCAAAATAACCTCCCCTAATCAGAAAATTTGCCAAAAAATTATCACATGTGGTAGGTGTCAGAGGTAATAGGGGGCTAACTCCACTACATTACAGTGCAGTATATATAGTACAGTACAATTATATATTGTAAGCAGTTATACAGCACCAGCTTTAAATGTTATTACAGTACTGTATTCACTTAAACACTACTGTACATGTACAGTATATTGGTTAAATTAATTATCAATGCAGGTGGAATAGTAATTTGGACAAAATACATGAAAATAAGTTGAGCGACTGCGGGTGGATATCCTCACACTAGGCCTACCACTGTATAACTGAGCGACTGGCCGGGCAGAGTCTTCCACGCATCCCGCGTGGGTCGCATGTGTTATGCCATATCTTGGAATATTATGAGTTATGTAAAAAATAATAATTTACAGCTGAATATTTTCAGCCATTCCGAGTTACAGTATATTGAATTACTGTACAATACAGTATACTCTCGATTTAACAGAATCCGATATAACAAACTCTCGATTTAGCAGAAGGAATTTTTTTTTCACCCAATTTAGTGAACTAGTTTGCTAAATTGAGATTAATTCCATTAATTCGCTCACACCTACAGACACCTCAGACACAGGATACTGTACATAGAAACATTAGAAACGTTATTCATGGCTTACCTTAAACTATGGGGGTTCAGTGTTTGTTTAAAAATTATTCTATAATTTCCAGATTTTGTTCCAATTGATAGCTGCACTCTTTTTACTTTCTTCCCCACACCACTTCCTTTCTCAGAGACTGTCGGCATGATGCCTAAACACAGTAGTTAGTTGACTGAGACGTAGACCGAGAGGTAGCAGTGAAGAACACACGTGGTGGCAGAACTCCACAGACTGAGCGGATGGAATTTAACGGAATCACGCCTAATTTAGCAAACTAGTTTGCTAAATTGAGTGAAAATAATGGAATTTCGATTTAACAGAAAGGGGTGGCTAGAATTAGTGAGATAATTCGAGAAAATACTGTACGTATGCGAAAATTGTCTTTAACTTAGGGTGACTGATCAGCTCAAAAATGAATTGGGAGGCACAATCCATATATTATTCACACATATTTGCAAGATTGTGTGATATAAAACTTGTTCAGTAATGGCATTATGCATGGTACTGATAACAAAATAATTATATAAAAAAGCTCGAGCTCAGGGAGGTAAAACAAGAATAGTACTTGTATGCCTACTGGGCACTGGTGCCCTATTAATTTTTTTGGGCTGTTTCTCTTAATGTATAATCTTAAAACTTGTAATACAGTTTTCAAGTTTTCCCTTCTCTTGACTCTTCTTCCCTTTTTGACCTATACCTGTACAGTATATGTAATTTTGTTGCACTTGATTTTTGCCCATTTTTTTTCCGGGTTCATTGAAGTCCAAAGCCACTCCCAGACTGTCCGGCCAGGCTCTTAACAGGTACAGCCATTGAATTAACACTATTGTCCAAAGTCATCACACCACTCGGGTGACTTCGGACACCTGTAAATCTTTTCTTCATTGAAAACATATATTGTTTCCTGTTTTTCTGTTGACGCGTATGGATAATTCATTAGTCTATGCACCAACAGCATACTTAACATATGCTTTTAACCTTCAAACTTAAAATGCAAATTAAAAAAAAAACTTGAATACTGTTTGAAATCAACCCACCGTACGGTACCTAAGCTCTCGTTTAGCTGTAGTAGTATTTGTATTTTTCATGTGACCTGAAAGATATAACTCTTTAACAATGTTTTAACAAATTTATGATTTCATTTTGTTCTTATAATCTGCAGCAGAACAGTTTTGCTAATAATAGGTGATATCTTTCAGGTCACATCAATTTTGTGCGTGTTGGACGATTGGAGGGAGACAGAAGTGTGTAAACAACATTGTAACTGAGCAGGGTGGAGGCAGTCCACAGCATGGCATCAAGTGAAACTCGATTGGAAGGCTCCAACTCACGTGTGACTGGTCGGGGAGTCAAGCGTACCCATCCCATTGTCCTAAATGGCTTGGATGGTACAACAGAAGAGAAGAACTCTGACTATTTGTGTCCTGTGTGCTTGGACCTCATATCAGAGGCCCACATGACAAAATGTGGGCATACTTTTTGCCGTGGGTGTCTGTTTAATAGTATAGAATCTAATAAACGATGCCCTAAGTGTAATTTTAGTGTTGAAAGTACAGATCACATATTTCCCAATCATACTGTAAACCAGCAGATACTAAAACAGCGTCGGGCGGCTGACTTACAGGCTGCCTTTTCAAAAAAAAACAAGACCGCTGCTCTTAGTGAACTCCGGAATTACCTTAGTTTTGATTCCTCTTGTCTAGGTGTCAGTGATATTACACACATAATAACTATCTTACAGGAGAAGAAGGAGCAGTTGGAAGCTGCATCAATGCAAAACAAGTTTGAGCTCATGAAGGACTTCCTATCAGAGTTACGTAAGAAGAAGGAAGAGCAGTTGTCCACCGTTAGTAGAGAACTAAAACTCATAACACATGACCTATCTAGTGTGCAAAATAATCTTGAAAGTGTTTTACCATATAGAACTTCAAATAGCTGTGTACCTCAGAGTAACAGTGTCCCAAATACTACTGGTGTGTTCCTTACTGAAATTCTTGGCACTGACTGTCCTGGAACATCAAATGGATCCCAGGAGAGTCCAAGTCCAACAGAAGAAGGATTTAATGTTCCTTTGTTCTCTCGAGCTTGTCCTGAAAATTCCACAGTTCAAGCGAGACGAAAGAGAATGCACTTCCACTTTGATGAGTTGGAGGAGCGTTATTTTAGTATGCGGGTGCCGGGCTTCAGTGACTCGGGAATGGATGATGATGATGATGATGGTCTTGACCAGTTTGGGGAGTGTATATCAAAATTCACCCATTACAGTGGGATGCGTCCCTTAGCAACAATCAGCTACAATTGTGATATGTTTCATCAGTCCAGCAATATTGCCTCCAGTATAGAATTTGACAAGGACAGTGAATACTTTGCTGTAGCGGGTCTTACCAAAAAGATTCGCATTTTTGACTACGGCACAGTGATCAGAGATACGGTGGATTTGCATTACCCGTGTTCTGAAATGCTCTGCACATCAAAAATTAGCTGTGTGAGCTGGAGTAATTACATGAAGCATATGCTGGCGAGTAGTGACTATGACGGTGTAGTGACAGTGTGGGATGCTTTCACCGCTCAGAGGCTTCATGTTTTCCAAGAGCACGAAAAACGGTGTTGGAATGTGGACTTTAACAAAATGGATACCAAACTAATTGCCTCTGGCAGTGATGATCACAAAGTGAAGCTTTGGTCTTTAGACTGTGAGAGGTCTATGACGTGCCTAGAAGCTAAAGCAAATGTGTGTTGTGTGCAGTTTAATCCATCTAGTAGATATCATTTAGCATTTGGGTCAGCTGATCACTGTGTTCATTACTACGATTTACGGAATATGAAGGAAGCAGTTAGAGTGTTTAAGGGTCACCGTAAAGCTGTGTCGTATGTTAAATTTGTGTCAAGCGAAGATATTGTTTCGGCCTCTACAGACAGTTTGTTAAAAATATGGAATGTTAATAAGTCTCACTGTGTGCGTTCACTGCAGGGACATATAAATGAGAAAAATTTTGTTGGTTTGGCAACCGACGGGGAATATGTGGCCTGTGGCTCGGAAAATAATTCTCTGTACGTGTACTATAAGGGTCTATCCAAGAAATTGTTCAGCTTGAAATTTGATCAGAAGAAGTGGGTATTAGACCCAGAACAAAAGGAGGAGGAATCCTCTGAATTTGTGTCTGCTGTTTGTTGGAGGAAAGGTTCCAATATCATAGCTGCAGGAAACAGTAAAGGCATTATCAAAATCTTGCAGATGGTCTAGTTGATTTGTTGCTGAACATTCTTGATAGATTGACACTTTTTGACACATCGAAATAGCTTTATGGGACTTTTTTTTCATTAGACAAACTTACGACAGTACAGTTCATATTATTGTATAGAATTATGTCATACCTATATTGTAGTTTTTATATGCTGTTTATGTAATAGTGGAATTCATTACCATGAAAGACATAAGTATTGTATATTATATGGTTTTAGAATATTCCTAAAATTCTAGTACAGTAGTACCACCAAATGGTCTCACATTGGTGTTTATGTAATTTTTGTGAAGATCTTTGTCTAATCTCCATTTGAGTTTGGACACAGTAAAATTGAAAATGATCACTTTGCGAAAACCAACATGTACATTTATTCTGTAACGTCCATAATGGTGATACCATTCATAGGTGCCCTTTTAGTTCTGATAATTTATGCAGTAATAGTACGGTTACAGATTACAGTATTCTTACGGCATACTCTGTATCATGTATCATCAACCACATTTGCAGAATTGTAATATTTAAGTTATTCTGTATTTTAAGAGTGACATAATTATATAACCATTCCATTCTCATTTGATAAAAAAATTATACATTCCCTAAAATATGACAAATATTTGTTGAAACTGAAAACCCTTTCAGCCTATTCAAGAATGGTTTCTACATTTTAATTGCTACCACTATCCCCTACCATTTCCCTCTTCCTTAGATAGAACTGAAAGCTGTCTTACTGTACGGAAAGCTTTCAGTAATAATGATAATGGTGGTGTGGCAGACCATACTAAGAGGAGTCTTACTTTTTTCATCAGTCTGATGATTGTGTTTGTCTTATGTGACAAAATTTCTTTTCTTTTCTTTGTTTTTCTCTTCCTTTTCCTTTTCCCAGAAGGTAAGAAGTGCATTAGACTAATTCTTTGCTGGATTGTGATTTCTTTTCAGTCCAACCCTTTGATATTTTACGCCAAGTATTCAGAGCACATTAGTTATAAATGAAGCCAGGGTAGAAATGAACAGGTCATCAGTCACCATTATGTAACAGGCACAAATGATGTTATCGTGTGGGTTGAAATTTTCTTTCAATGAAACATGGAAACTGCTTACTTGTGTTCATTTGAAAACACACCATTCATATATTTTTTTTATTATACTGTACTGAAAAATTGGTGTTGGTATATCTGGAAGGGTTTTTCAAAATGTTTGAATAGATTCAACAAACTTTCTCCCATTAAGAAAACTTACACCTGAGTGATGATTTTATGTTTTAGGTGAAGAGCTGCTTTTTATTGTATTTTATTTTATTATTAAGAACATATTGAATTCGTTATATGTAAACTTGCTGCAGAAAGTATCTGCAAGGTGGGGTCTGATGGATGTCAGAATGAACAATATGACCCCTCTTGTCTCAGTAGGATTGTCAAAATCCTTCGACTGTTGTCGAAGGTGAAATTATTATGTAAGAAATGTCAAGAAACTTTGGAGATTTGTTATTTCTGACAGCAGACGAAAGGAACCAAACAGACATTACTTAAAATAACAAGATAACCTTATGCATTCTACAGTATATGGGTCTGTTGTGTGAAGGTCAACTTCACACTACTCAGTCATGACTGGTATACAACTAGTACTGGGCCCTTGTACAATGGCTCTGTCTGAATAAATGAGTACATTACAGTAATAGTTTACTAGCTCATGATAGACTACTTTCATAGCTAAAATACTTATTAAGAAATTGACTGCTTTTATTACCTGATTCAGTAAATAGCAACAAAAGTATAGATTTCATGGAAAAAGTACAGTATTGTATTGTACAAATGAGGCAAAGTTAGGGAAAAGAAATAAAACAATTGTTCATTGGCTATTGAATATTACAAGACCGTTGGTAGTTGAATAGATAAAAATTTCTAATGACATTTCAAGATTGTCATAGACCTGTACTGTAATATTAATGAAAACTATTGTTGTATGGCATGATGAGTGTGCCATCTTATTTTGATTGCAAAAATTATTTTTGCAGTACAGGGGGTCCCCGGGTTATGAATGGGTTCCGTTCCTGAGGACTTTCTTAAGTCAGAAAATAATGTAAGTCGGAACACATGTTATGTACATGCTGTACTTACAGAAATATGTTTAAAATCCCACTATCATAGCGTAAGTCCTTATATACATCTAAAATCACTTAATTTAAGATAAAAGAAGAAATAGAATGACAAAATACAGTAAATGAAAGTAAAAAATAAGTCATCAGGTAAATAAATTACTGTAAATTTTAAGTTTAACCCCATTCGTATCGGTGGGCATTCGTAAATCGGGTACCCCCTGTAATATTCAGGCTTGACCAACATGAGCACGCAAATTTACAGGCACCACCCATATGGCAGTGGTGATGAGCATTTATGTGATATACATGGAGCAATTGGTTTACACTCTGAATGCAAAACAGGCTTCACGTATTGTCTAACAAGCAGTTTTAGGAATGAATTTACACCCAGTTTTGGTGTACTGTATAAGTTTAATTGAACATTGAAAACTGTGATAAATATAAGTGCATGTGTTCGATGTGTGATTTATAATCATATTAGAGTACTGTACAGTACTGGTATATAAAAGTGGGATTTGTACATTCTTTTTGGCCTGATATCAACAGGGAAGCAGTTTGTTAGAGCTGGCAGATAATCTTTGTGTTGAATGAAATACTGTACTGTACAATGACAGGACAGTATCAGGTTCATTTTGAAGGGAAATTGACATTTTCTTTCCCCTCTTTTTAACTGAACGATTATGTTACCACTTTTTTATTTGCTGTAAAAAGGAAGAAGTAATTTTTCTGTGCTTTATACTTGTTAGTTGGTTACATGAACACCACTGTTGTTGAGATCATCTCTTTGTAGTACTGTAGATATTACTTGTAAATGTGGAATTTTTGTAGGGGGGTTGATTATTGAGGTACAGTCTATAACATAGAATTGTAGGTGTATTTAAACGTAGTTAATAATATAGCCTCTGACTTATTTCTTTTTATTGTAAAATGGGACATGGAAGTACTGTACAGTCATTCAATCTCTTGGTCATTTGTAAATGTTTGTATTATGTAGTAACTTTGAGGTTTACTCATCCATTACCCTGAGGCTGTATATCCGGTATACGCTTACACCTTAGCAAATACCACTTTATGGAAGCATATATTGTCTTGGAGTCTGCTACAGTATGTGAAATAAACAATTTTAATGGGATTTTAACAATCGGTGTGATAAGTTAAAGGTTAACTCGAGTCTTATTTTCTGTTTCAATGTTATTGTTGGTACTTTTTATTTAATGGGTAAAATACCTGCAACACTCAACCTCTTGTGCTGGGCAATTTGTCAGCCGAGGAGTTACTCGGTGATTTTTTTTGACATCTACAGTATTTAATAAGCCAGGTAATGTTACTTCACTATACCCGTAGTTTATGTTTAAAATTTTGTTTCAACCACTTTATACAATGTAAGTACAGTGGTCCCTCGGTTAACGAACACAATTCGTTCCAGAAGGTCGTTCGTTAACCGAAACCATTGTTTCAATGGGATTTTGGGTAATTGGTTCCAGCTCACCAAAAATTACATACAAACTAAAAATAAATGCAGTAAAGTTCACTTACTTTGAGGTGTGCATGTAGAAGGCTCATGGTTGATGATTATGATGATGGGAATTAGAAGTGGGGGTGGAGGAGAAGGGAGAAGAGAAGGCAGTGGGGTGAAAGAGAAGTCACCCCCATGCTTCATGCCGCCATTTCACCCATAAAATTTTAAGTTCACTTGGTGTAATTCAAGATTATTTTTTTTAAATCAATACTGCACTGCATTATATATTGTCAATATGTAAAATAAAATTCAGAATGACCAATAATTGTACTGTAAAACGTTAAAATAGTTTATGTTCAAGAAAGTCTCAAGCAAGATGCTTCCTCCACTGAGCAGAGACACAAACTGACGCCATTCTGGGTGAGTCAAGTGGGTGTTTGGCACGCTAAATACTAGTTCCCTGTACTTCAATTATGTTAAATAATTGTTGAAATGACTAAAAAATTTAATATAAGACTTGGAAAATTATTGAATAGTACAACCTTCTTGATATTTACTCAAATGGTAATGAATTTGAGCCCTAAAACCGATTACTGTATTGGCGGACTAATACTACAGCTGGTGAGCAGGCGAAAACATGTTGGGAAAAATTTTTAAGGAATTCGTTGACTGAATGTTTTTCGTTAACCGAATTGAATATTCTTATAGAAGGTAATTCGTTAACCGAAATTTCGTAAACCGAGGCGTTCGTTAACCGAGGGATCACTGTACTATATATATGAGAATTAGATAGTACAGTGGTCCCTCGGTTAACCAGCACAATCCATTCTAGAAGGTTGCTCGTTAACCGAAACCATTGTTTCAATGGGTTTTTGGGTAATTGGTTCCAGCTCACCAAAAATTGCCTAAATTCAACAGAAAAAGGTAGAAAAGAACACTTACTTTGAGGTGTGTATGTAGAAGGCTCCTGGATGATGATGATGATGATGGGAATTAGAATGGGGGTGGAGGAGAAGGGAGAAGAGAAGGCATTGGGGAGGAAGAGAAGTCACCCCTTGGCGCCATTTCACCCATAAAATTTTAGTTCTCTTGGTGTAATTCAAGATTATTTTCTTTAAATCAACACTGCACTGCATTATATATTGTCAATATGTAAAATATATTTCAAAATGACCAATAATTTGCTTGCAAACACAGAAAAAAGCATTTAGTTGAAGAGAGTCTCAAGCAAGATGTTACCTCCACTGAAAAGACACAAAGACTGACGCCTGTATGGTGTGTTGAGAGGCTGGATGGCGCGCATAAAACTAGTTTCATTACCTTCAATTATGTTCAATAATTGTTAAAATGACTAAAAAATTTAATATTAAACTTTTAGAATTATTGAATAGTATAAACTTCTTGATATTTGCTAAAATGGTAAGGAATTTAAGCCCTAGAACCGATTACTGTAGTGGCGGACTATAATACCACAGCTGGTGGACCGCCAAATGCAAGCGAAAACATGTTCAGGTCGGTTCGTAAGAAACTCGTTAATAATAATAATAATAATGATTAACGGTTTATTGAAAGAACTTGGCAGCCAGAAGGCTGAAAATATACAGTTACATATTTGGGGAATGGGTTTCGAATTACAAATAATATACAAGTAACATAAGTGATATAAATAAGATATATAATAACTAGATGGGGAAAAGCTCAAACTACAGTACATTTCAACATAGTGACAGTGCAAGGAGTAGTGTTTACTGGGAGTGAATACACTGGTCTATTACAAGTTATTGATAATTTTTACAATGGTTGGGACTGGGCTGTTCTTATAGCGATCAGTTCGTGCACGTATGGGCTGGATGCGGTTGTGGTGTCGAACAGCAATTCTCGGGCTAGGGATCTCAGGTGGTAGTAGGAGCTGGTGTCGAGGATGGTGTAGAAGCTTCTTACCAAATTTGCAGATGAGGTCGTGGTGATGGTCAGTGAGAGTCGAAAGGGTCAGTGTGTTGAGCGCTTCTTGATATGTGGAGTAGGATGGGGAGAGAATAATCTTGCATGCCCTCTTTTGCACTTTTTCTAGGTGTTTACGTTGTGTGGCATTTAGGGAGGAAGACCAGGCATAGGGATTGCACGTTAACCGAAGTTAAGAATCTTATGGAAGGTAACTCGTTAACCGAGGCGCTCGTTAACCGAGGGACCACTGTACAGTACTGTATATCACATCTTAAGAATATAGAGGTACTGGAAAAATTTAATATGGTATTACTCTTACGCTTATCTCTTCCCCATGATGGTTAGGAGGAAACTAATCACACGTGTTACTACAAACTCCACGTCCTGACTTGCCCACTCTTAAGAGTTTCCTTTTCTTTGTATATGTGAAAAAATATTGAATGATTATAATTTATTAATATTATTCAAGCAGCAGGTTTTAGTTTAAGTAAATGTATTATGATTATCTTGATGAATGGAGTTTGAGTTTATGAATTATTATTTACATGTACCTGCACAATGAATTGTGGATAGCCGTCATATTTTTCATGGTGAG